TTAAACTGCTTTTATTATTATTATTTTAACTAGAATTGCAACGTCGTGAAAATACGTCTTGAGCCACGTCACATCAATGCACCCGTGGTTGTCGACATACTTCGACTTCGTTGAGATTCGGATTTGGGTCACATAAATGCGCACCCGAGTTTAGAAAAGTGAACTAAAAAGCGCATCCAAGGTGTCTAACGCGCTATCATCTTTAGGGAAGGCCGTGAAATTTGCTAAACGACCCATCCCGAATTCCAAGTATTTCATTATAACTAATTATTGAGGGCCCCGCAATTTATGGGTTTTGTTTGGGCGAGGCTCATCTCATTTTTTTTAAAAAGGCAAGCCTAAAAGCAACTATGATTCTCTATTTATTTTTTTGTCTCTAAAAGGAAGGAAAAGGTCCTAGTTAATTAATATTAGAATTCGGGCTTCAAGTTCAAGTCCGGGCCCAAACTAAAGGGAGCCTAGTAAAAATGTGGTGAAAAAATCTGGTGATAAGTCAGTAGAAGAGTCTAGTGTCATTGTGATGGAATACTTGGGTGAAAAGTATGTGAAGTCTGATGAAAAGGAGAAGAACGTTCGCAAGTCTACCAAAAGAAAAGCTGATACCGATGAGGAACATGGTTCCTCCAAGAAGGCCAGAGTTGGTGAACCAAGGAGTTCTGGGAAAGAGACTGAGGAGCCAAAAGGTGCTTTGGGGCTACACATTTGCCCCTGACATCTTAGAGGAGGCTGGTATGAGACAATTGGTTGAGATCTTTGAGTTCCGATAATGGACACACTTGTTCACAAGTGATGCGACAAGGGTGTATGAAGAGGAAGTTCAAAGTTTCTATGCCGACTTATTCAAGGTTAAGGATCACATCTGTGTGTTGGTAAATAGAGTTGATATGATAATGGACTCTACCTTGTTAGGGTCTATTCTTGGTGCGCCTGCTGAAGGGCTGTCTAGTGTTTAGGGTTTCTGTTCTCAAAACTTCAGAAATGCCATCTTGAAGGACAGAGCAATTCAGCAGGGGGAACGGGTTCAGAAGAAGGCCTTCCTTCTTGTGTATCAACTGTTATTTGAGATGGTGAACAAGGTATTGTTGCCTCGAGCTGAGAGAAGATTTATCACTTCTCGTGCAGACCTGAACCTTATGGAAGCGCTGGACAACTTCACTACCATCAACCTGCATGGGATCATGATAGAGCACATGAATAAAGTGGCAGAGTTAAAAGATGGTAATCATGGGCTGCCTTATGGATTCCTTCACACCAAGGTTTTTGAGCACTTCAGTTCCTCTGGGACATGTAAAAGTGGGCACCAAGAAGCAAACTTTCTCCAAAGCTACTCATGAAGAATGTGAGTGTATTGAGAAAGTTGGAGGGGTTGGAAGCACTTCTACCATATCTCAGTTGATAAATGCTCAAAACAGTGCTACTGCTGAGATAAGGCAATTGAAAGCAAGCCTATCCTTAAGACTCAGTTAAGTCAGTTGCAAGAGGCACCTGATTCCAGTAGCTCTCAAAGCGAAGAGGTTGCTTGTCTGACAAAAGAGAACGCTGAGCTCAGGAAACAAGTGGAGGACCTAAAAGAGAGACTCCCCAATGAGCAAATGTTAGCAAATGCTCGAACGGATTTANTGGATTTAGTCCTCCAAACCCTTGCCTCTGCCTCCAATCCTTCTCCTTCTAGTGCTCCCTAAATAGTGTCCTGTCCGTGTCAAGTCTATGATCTAGTTTGTGGTCAAGTCCCTCAGTGTCGGTTCTTATGATGATGTTTGTGGTATTTTTTTGGTTGTTGTTCTAAATTATGGATGTGATAGTAACATTGACTTTGCTCCTGTTGAAAAATCCAAATTATGATAATGCAAGCTTTTCCCTTTTTGTTGTTTATACCTTGCTTTTATGCTCTGTTTTTAGTCATGATTGTGTGCACATAAGTGACATGAGTTAACTTAAAGCTAGACTTCTTTATCGCTTGAAAGCATGTTACCGATCTTTTTATGATGCCAAAAAGGGGAAGAATAATTGCATAATTATTTTATGATTGTATTATGATGTGCACTAATTAAGGGGGAATGCAGATTCAGGGATTCAAGGGGAAACTTAAGGTCTTTCTAGTTCATGTCTGGTTCTGTGTGGCTCTTTTTGGGATTTTCAATTATGAGTTTGTCATCATCAAAAAAGGGAACGATAGGTTACAAATTCCTTGTTTACAAGTACCTTGTTTTATGATTTGATGATCTAATAAACTTACTATTAAGAACCAGATATGGAACCTGTTACACATTCTCAAGACCTTAAGATCGAAAGGTTCTAGTTTGGGGTATGGTTCAACTCTTCAGAGTCGAAGGAATAGTTGAGGGAACATGTTGCTACCAGCTCCCGAGGTAACTGTATGAAGTCAACTCTCCAGCTGGAAAAGTTGTTGTCTGCACACGCTAGAGTACCGGAACAGTGCAACAGTCAACTTTCTGAGGAAGACTTTTTACCTGTCTTGCTTACATCATTGAAGGTGATGTCACAAGTGTATTATTAACATCAAGGAAGGTAAAACAAAATCACTTGAATACTTAGAGAATTCACTCAAGCTCTCTCACGTGATTGATCATCCAGCAAGCAATTCTCAAGTGCATCAAGAACAAAGAACAACACGATTACGGACCAGTTCTTATACAAGTTATTATATGTCCTTAGTTGAGTTATAACTTTGTAATAGTTCTTCAAGTGTAATTCCTACTTAGCTTTTTTAGGAGTATTCTGTATGAAACCCTTGTGTTTGAGTCTTGGCTAGAGTTAGTCGAGTTGTAAAGTTTTTATGATAGAGTTATTACAAAGTGGCTTGTAATAGAGTATTACAAGTTAGTGAGGGATTAAGAGGTTAATTCCTAGGTTGCATAGGTTGTAATTTAAAAGTTGCTCAATAATGAAGTTGAAATCTTACAAGGGTAGATCGTAGTTTTTAATCCCGTTGAGCTGGAAATTTTCCACGTAAAATTCCTCTTGTCATTTATTTACCACACTGTGCGTGTATTCTGTTGAACCTGATAGAGAACCTGGTTCTCTATTTGACCGAGGGTCACCTTGGACCTCTTACAGAAGGCGATGATGACCGGGTCCAAGGGACCTAACATGAAGGGATAAGTGTAAACACTTAAAACAAAACCTCCACGCGGATAGTAATCGCTTCCTCGGGCGAAGGCACCACCACGTGCTTACCAACCCAGTTGCAATCCTCATTGACCTTGGAAAGAAGACTGTCGGTGACCGAGCATATATATCTCAAGACCGGCTCGCACTGACCCGGTTTCGAGGAGGTTTTCTCAACCTTGAAATCAGCACCGGTCGAGCACCCGCCAGGAATAAACGCTTCAAGAGGAGGTTCTGCCGCTGGTTCCTCGCCGGCCAACTGTGATGAAGAGGTAGTTTTTTTTGTGGAACTGTCTTAGAAGTCTTCGCCATTTTTCATGAATAAAGATGAAGAAGAGGAAGTTAAAAGGTTATGTTTAATGGTTTGGAGTGAAGACAAGCGAGAGTTCTTGCAAAAACCTCAAGAAATCTAGGTACAAGTGTTAGAGAGTACAAAGATTTTTTAAGAACAAGAGTAGAAGAGGTTTAGATGTAAAGTTTGAATGGATGGAGTATTTATAGATTTCAAATGACGGTTCAAAGTCTGTAGTGGTCGACCGGCGACTGACGAACATTTAATGCCATTAAGACGTGTCTGACGAGATGTTTCATCCATTTTTGTCGTTTCTGATGCAAAGTATCGAGATGAGGATCAGAGGCTCATATCGTTTCTCGTCGTTTACACTCCGAAAAACGCGGGGACTATGTGTATATAGTCGAAATCGGGCTCATCTATTGCATGACAGATCGGGATTAAAACAAGATCGACCCTGGGTTTCATCGAACTAGGATACGAGATTAGAAAACCGGTCTTCGAGGTTACCGAGTCCATGACCCCGAAATAGACCCCGATGCCGAATGAACCCAAGGTAACATTGTCGAACTAGATAACGGAAGGCCGAAATATCCGCAACCGATCGGTTATCACGGCGGGGATAACCATGAGATTTTTTTACCTTTCATAGAATTGTACCTAAAGTAGGATTCCCCTACTATATAAAGGGTGTATGATTATTTGCAAGACACATTGCGGACACACATCCCAAAGCATTTATGACATTATTTTCTTTCTGCAAGCTACTGTTTTTCTGTGTTTGACATCATTTGAATTACATTCAGTTCGGGTGAGATCTATTTCCCAAGGCTATAACTGTTCAAGTCACACGGTTTGAACTTACTTTATTATTGTTTGCTTTATTTATAATTCAATCTATCGCTTTGTGTCAGATTAATCCACATATCCTTAAAACCACTTATAAATTCAATTGTTATCCGATTTTGAGGGTAAACTTAAAACCACTTATAAATTCAATTGTTATCTGATTTTGAGGGTAAACACATTGTTCGACGCAATTTAGCATAAACATCTCAATTATTATTGTTGTTGCTGGTCCTCTAAAGACCAGAGAGTCGCTTCCTTTTCCATCTAACAGGCGTTCTTATTTTTGTTCTAAAGGCAGGAGAATCGCTCCATTACTGGATTATTCAAAGCTATAACGAGCTATTGTATAGTTGTTCTATGAAGGTCATAGGTTCGTCCCTTCTTGATTTAGAAGCTTCTTATAGCATGTTTCGCCAAACTTCTCCAAAGCCAAGCAGAATTAATTTTGGAGAAGCACCAAAAAAATAGCTTCTCCCTAAAAGCACTTTTTAAAAATTTAGTCAAACTCTAATTGCTGTTCAGACGTGCTTTTCAAATTAATGTAGACAAACATAAGCGTTAAAAAGCACTTTTGAACAAAAACACTCCTCGAAATGAGCTGATTTTTTAACCTTAGGCCAAACAGGCTACTTAATTTAGCACCTCAAACAAACTAATCTTAAACCTTTATTCTCTTAAAATCCTGCTCCACAAGAAACTTCCTTAAACAAATACCAAGATTCCATAGGCGTGCATGCATAAGCTGACTTAACCAACTAGACAAAAAATATTAACATCACATCTTTAGTTTCCCTTTTTTCAGTTAAGCAATTACAAGGTCAGAGCCCCAACAGAACAGAGAAATAAGCGACTTGCTAAAACATCAGTCCTGTAAAATAATGCTATGGACATGAGCTACAACGGCGTAAGAAAAGTAAGAATCATCAGAACACAAGGACAGCTCAATGTCTCTGTGTTACAGACGGCGGGGACTGGTGGTTGACAAAGGACAAATATACTGCAGAAAACAATCTATAATTAGTGCATATAATGTGGGATAGGAATTGGAGCATGAAAATAGTGATCAGAGGCTAAAAGCACAAAAGCATACTAACATTTCATCCAAATGAGTCTCATGAGACGAGTGGAAATTGCAATAATTGAAACAAGGAAAAATGGTAAAAACTACCCCTCTACTATATGAAAAGGAACATTTACCCTCTCTGAGGGTGCCTAACGGAGGAAGGGTAACTTTGCACTAGTTTTATAACGTCGGGGGCAATGATGAGCAGAAAGTATAACAGAGAGCATATATAATCATTTTCGCATAGTAGAAGCGTATTTTTAACCCTTTTCCATTGAAACAATAAAGAGAAAAGGGCACCACATGCATCTTCCATTAACAACTCTAAAACCAGCCATATTGGCTCGTAGATTCCTCGTTAAAGTAACATCTCATGAATACTCAAATCCAGTCTTATTTTTAGAATATTTACCTACCGAGTCCTGACCCAACTACCAAAATGAGCTAGCTGAACTGGAGAAGCACAAAATGCTTCAAAAGCCATAAAGGTTAACCAAAATTGCAAATGAGTAAAAGAAACTAAATAACCAAATTTCCAGCAGGACAAACTGTCCTTTTCAAGTTTATACAGAGTCCATATGAGATTATGTGAGCTTGTCTTCTCCTTTAAACAAGGGCAGCACGGTGCACTAAGCTCCCGCTATCCGCACGGTCCGGGGAAGGCGCCGGACCACAAGGGTCTATTATACACCGCCTTACCCTTTGTTTGTACTTAAAAGTGTTAACTAGGTCAAGCAAAAGATTCAGGGTAATCTAAGCAATTAATGTTTCTTCCCCTTTCTAAGTCAACATCAACAGTAATTTACTAATCCTGTACAGCAATATCAAAACACCAGGTCAACTCCTTACAAAAAAAAAGGTCAAAAAACTTTCTTAAGACATAACTCTTAAAACATATCATAGCTAATCCGTCTTTAATCCTTTTCCCACCTTTACTCAAGTTAGCCTCTTCTTCTGGAGGGTGGTTTCAGCACAAACTTACAAACCGTTATAAGTGAGTCCATAAAAAGTTACCGTGCACATTGTTTCATCAATAATATAACAGTTGCTTTGACATATTAATTTGATTTTTCCAATAAGAAAGCATTTGGAATATACTATGCTCATGCGAGCTTTCTGGAGTGTGTGATATGTACTTAATAAAGAATACCATTTAGGTCATCATATTATAAATTTTACTCTCTAGACACTGCACCGAAATTTCTAAGAGCATCAATGCTCTAACTCAATCACTAAGTTCATGTATGAATTACTATAAATCACATGAAAAAACTTTCTTGTTTCCTATGTTACTGTAGGACCCATATATATCAAAATTCGGACATGATCCATATGAGATGCCGCATCTATATCCCTAGAGCTCACCACATTCTCACATGTAGTGTACAGCAAATAGTAAACATTAGACCTATCAGTCTCTCTCAGAGAAACCTCATTAGGCATAGTCATTTAGAACCATACTGCACAACAGCAGGTCAGATGCAAACCGTATCTCCTTCACAGGGTTGTAAATAGTGCTCACCTCAGCGCTAATAGCGTGAGGCGTAGCGATGCGAGCCTCCAGCGCTAATTGCCTCTGTTGCATTGCGATTTCAGAAAGGCGCTCGCCTCTACCTGTGTAGCGAAAGGAGACTGTAGCATCGCTTTTTGAAAGAAAAAAAAAGCGCAGCAAACCAGCGATTAAAAGAAAAAGACCAGCGATTAGGGCTTTCAACCATTTCTTTCTTCTTCAAGCTTCAAACAGCAGACCAGCAATTTCTTTCTCCTTCAAGTCGACCCAGCCACAGCAGAGCATCAACGATTCTTCTTTCTTCTTCATCAAGTTCTCTTCTTCTCCTTTGTTCTTCTTCGAGTTTCTGCCATTTTTTTCTTTCTTCTCCTTTCTTCCTTTCTTTCTTCCTTTTTCTTCTTCTTCTATTCTTCTTTTATTTTTTGCTCTGTTGTTTTTGAATTTTGATCGAGCATACAGAGAGCTTTTTCTTTCATTTCTTCCTTCCCTCCTTCCTTTTTCTTCTTCTCTTCTTTTTTTGTTTTTGGCTCTGTTTATTCAATTCCTTCACGGGTAGAGGCAGAGAGCATTATTTCAAACCTGAAATTTCCTCCTCTTTTCAGTTATAGAGTAGAATTAATTGCATATTGACTTGATAATTTTTTCCTATAAAATAGTATCGAAATGGCGTCATCCGATGGTAATAAAAGAAATGATATAGCTTGGAATTAGGCTATACAAGGCTCATCAAGATCCGCAATTAAATGTGTGTTTTGTGAAAAAAACATATCATGGTGGAATAACTCGTCACAAACAACATTTGATTGGTAAATTTTAAAATGTAGTACAATGTCCTCTTTGTCCGCCTGATGTTACGGAGGAAGTAAAAGCATTTGTTGAGAAGAAAAATGTGACAAGAACTCAAATGAGTTATGAAGCATCGGTGAATCTTATTGATAAAGATGATAAAATGGGACCCACCCCCAAAAAAAAAAAATCAAAAGATATCTTCAAATAGTTATAGTGGGTCATCCACAGCGCGTATGGTGACAAAAGGTCTTCTCAATCTTTATTTCTCGGCAAAACAACAAGAAAAGGGAAAAGGTGATTCTGGTTCAGGTTTAGAAGCCAAGAAGATTTTGAGGGATCGTGCCATAAGTGCCTTTGCAACATGGATGTATGATGCAGGGCTCCTTTTCAATTGTGTTAACAACAAAACTTTTGATAAATTCATTGAGGTTGTAGGACAATATGGCCCAGGAATGAAGCATCCTAGCTATCATGAAGTTAGAGTAACTCATCTTAAAAAAGAGATGAAGAAGATAGACAAAATTGTTGAGGAGCATGGAGTGGAATGGAACAAGTTAGGATGTTCCACTATGATGGATAAATGAACAGCACGAAATGGAAAAATGGTCATAAATGTGTTGGCGAATTCTTCAAGAGGTAGTGTTTTTCTTGTATCTTACAATGCTAGCAACTCTTCTACGGATGCAACCAAAATGTACAACTTGTTTGCAAAGACTATTGAGAAAGTTGGAAAGGAAAATGTTGTACAAGTTGTTACCGATAACGCTAGTGAGAATGTTAGTGCGGGTAAAATGATGCAAGGTGTATATACACACATTTATTGGACTCCATGTGATGCCTATTGTATCAATTTGATGTTTAGTGACATATCAAAAGAAACCCCATATGCTTCAAGTTACTTTAATATAGTTATCTTTAAAGCTTTAACTTTATTTTACTTATGTCCTATTAAGTATTAACTATAAAATTGTCATTGTTATTTTTAGTGTTTTCACTAAGCCGTCAAGATATATTCTTACATCAGCCAGAGGCCACTGTTATAGAATTTGATGAGAAAATTTACAAATGAAAGAAATTTGGTGAGGCCGGCCAAGACTAGATTTGCAACGGCTTTCTTGACTTTGCATAGTTTTTACTTGCAAAAGAAAAACTTGAGAAAGCTAGTTCTTTCAAATGAATGGAAAGAAAATAGATATGCAAAGGAAGCTGCGGGGTAATAAACTGTCAAAATTCTTATTTCTTCATCATTTTGAATGGTGGTCCTTTGATTAGGGTACTTCGTATGGTTGATGGGGAGAGAAAACCACCAATGGGCTATCTTTATGAAGATATGGATAGAGCCAAAGAAACTATTGAAGCATCATTTGAGGGAGATCTGAGGAAATATGAGAAAGTTTTTGAGATTATTGATAGAGGTGGTTAGATCAACTCCATCGACCTTTGCATGCAGCAGACCATATTTTGAACCCGGGATTGTTTTACAAGAACAATAGAGATGGCATTTTAGATTCAGATGTGTGGGTTGGATACCATAAATGTATTGAGAAGTTGGTCCCCGATGCAGCGATGGTAGATCAAATAGGGGAGGAGTTTGGTAAGTACACACGAGCAGATGACCTATTTGGTTTATAGGCGTTAGAGCCACAGACATAAGGTCGCCAGGTAAATAACTTTAATATAGATATCCTCATAGCTTTAATTTATTCGATTTATTTATACTTATTAACTTTTAAAATATTTTTCTATAGTTGAATGGCGGATGCAATTTGGTCGTCAAACTCCAAACTTGCAAAAGTTTGCCATCAAAATACTAAGCTTAACTAGTCGTGCATCTGGATGTGAGAGAAATTGAAGCGTATTTGAGCATGTAAGAAGCAGATTTAATATATTAATATATTCTATATTGTATTATTAGTAGTACCTATTAATTACTCTCTATAACTTATACGCAGATTCACTCCAAGAAAAGGAATAGGCTTGAGCTATCGCGTCTCAATGATCAAGTGTATATTAAATATAATAGAACATTGAAGCGTCTTTATGACGCTCGCAACATCATTGAGTTGGATAACATTGACGATGCAAATGAATGGTTAACTGGAGCCCCCAAAAATCATGAAGATGAATAAGTGTATGTAGGAGATGATCTTGATTGGGGTAGTGTTTCTATGGCTGCTGGAGTTGAGGAGAATATCTATAGTCTTAGAAGGAGTTCTTCAAGTTCAAATAACAAGGGAAAGGGAGTAGCTACAAGTTCAAGTCAATCCCTAATTGATGAAGACTCTGAGGATGAAGCAGATGATAGCCAATATAATGCTAACATTTTTGAAGTTCAAGAATTTGAAAATCTTGAAGAAGAATAGATATTGCTTGTTTTAGTTTATGAATCTACTATGACTATCTATTGAGTTTTTATTTATTAATATATTATTGCTATTGAGTTTTTAGTTTTAATATATATGTAATATTTTCAATTTTTTTTTTTGTATAAATTGTCGCTTCACATCAAAAAGGCGAGCGCTTCGCTTCTCACGCTCGCCTCAGTGAAGCGGGCCTTCGTCACTATTTGTCCCCTCACGCTATCCAAAACACTTCTCCTTCACTACCTTAGTGAATATATGCGATACAGGACAAAAAATAATTTAAAATATTAACTACTGATTTTTTCAGCACTCTTGATTCAAAGTACAAAAAATGGATGAACTATCGACAAATACTATCCTGTCTACCAAAGATGATACATGAGGTAACTATGATTTAGATGTCCATAAGTGATGAGTAGTATGAAGTAAATTTTAGACAGAAACAAACCCAAATGAAATAAACAGCAGTAAAGATACATATTTCAGTAGTTAAATATATACTAAAATGTAGCTCCTATTGGGGGAAGATACTCTTAGATGGAGCAAACATAGTAGTGAAATTTATGCAGTTAGCTCAGCATACAAAGATCTAAACCAGGTGGGTTCTCAAATCAGCTTATGGCCTTGGAAGCACATATGGAAAGTAAAGATACCATACAAAGTGGCATGCTTTACTTGGCTGGTGACCAAAAAAGCAGTGCTCACTCAGGAGAACCTAAGGAGGAGAGGATTACCAATTTGCTCAAGATGTTATCTGTGTGGACAAGATGCAGAGACAATTAGCCATCTGTTTCTACATTGTTGAGTGACTAGTCAGCTGTGGGATCGGTTCCTCAACCTCAGGGATTTTAGGTGGACAATACCAAGGAAAACTTCTGAACTTTTGTCTAGCTGAAGCACAGGGGGAAACTCTAACTCTAACAAAGATAGATGGAAAATTGAAGATACAAGTAGCCGTGTAGCCCCACAGAGAAGATCAAGATGAATTTTATTCTTCTTTTTAGTTTTTGGTGTAAATTAGAATATACTGATGATCTGAATGCAATCATAGAAGCTTTAGGCTCCTTATGAGAAGAACAAGGAGTTAGGGTATTTGGTTTTTGTTTCTACCTTCTCATGATGAAAATTTTGGCTTCCAGTACAAGAGTTTGTACTGATGATTTAATTTATATTGTGCAAACAACACAAGAACATCGACACTAACTGTACGTATGGAAAAAAACTATTAATATCAGGAAACAACTATTGGAAATAGAGGAGCCATAAGGTGCCAGAAATGCCCACTTCTAAAGAAATTGTTATCAGGTAATTTACCTAAAAGGTCAACTATCGTATACCAAAAAAAAAATTGGAAGCAACTTTCAATAGCTTAGGAAAATGTAGAAGAGATTCAGAACCTCAAAAGGTTAAGTTGCAAGAGTGAAAGAAATGAATCGAATTCAACTCACAATGCCATAGCTTTGTTTCCCCAGAAAAAGCACATCAATTTTACTTTGTCTCTTCCACAGTATCATCAGAATCTGAATCACTGACATTATAACCTAAAAAAAAAAAAGAAATCATGAAGACGCATATTGGACTGATGCACGAAACCGTTATAGTCAATAAAAGAGGTAGTCCGCACACCTGGGCGTTTATCACTCACTTTCCATGCTGAAGACCTACTCTTTGAAGCTCGGTTAATCCAAGCTCTTCCCTAGACCCAAAAATAATCAATCAGTCAAAGCATTTCGAACATCCCATGCCAAAAGCACCGACACATCTCCCACACACACAAATGTACATTTACAAAGAAGAGAGCTGATATCAGTCATAATTTCAAGTAAAATTCAACAGTTTCCAATGGATGTAATTATGCTGCTCTTTTCTTTGGACTGATTTGGTTCACCAAAACTCTTCTGTTCATGAAACGTAGTTGAGAAACTTATTTCATCGGAAAGATTNGGGGGGGGGTCCCCTCTGGCCTTCAAGAATTAAGAGGAGAGCAAAACAGTTCAAAGGCAATTGCATTTTTATGTTAAGATGACGGTCCCATTGGCTTTACTTATATGTATCTTCTTGGGTCACAGTGAAAAACTTCAAAACTCAAATGATGGCTCCCTGCTTATTGACTATGACTCCACATCAATTGTTAGTTACTTATTCACGTCTTCCCTTTACCTTTAACATAGTTGAACCGTTTTTACTTTGCAACCATGAAGATAATGATAAGAGTTCAAGGATGATTGCCAATTTATGTTTAGAAATGCTCTTTTAGCTACTGTCTTTTACCGTTTCTCTGTCTATATCTAGTAAATAGAAAACATAAATCTGTGCTTAGTTACTAAATCCAAAATTTTGAGCATGCTAAGAGCCCTAGTAAGTGAATATTACAGCATGTAAAGCAAGAACAGAGATAGTAAAATGCATAAAAACATGTGTTCGGCTAAGATAATATTTTCCATCGAACAGGGAATGACTTGTTTTCCCAAATATCACATTTCTTACTCTATATCACATTTCTTAGTCAATATTTTCAATCTTTAATACATAAATTTGTCACCAAATCACTTTCTTCAAATCCTATCGATAAGGGCAGGGCAAGTGTCCCAATTAGGAATTCGGCAGAACCAGTAGCTTTGACACAGAGCCTGTATTTGATTCATTAACCCAGTAAATCTTTTCTAAAGTCCAGAATTCATAAACTCAAAATCCTGGCTACTCTTATGCAACCATCTTGTATGATGATGATAAGTCACCTACTTTATAACAAAAAAGATGAGAAAATGATTTCACCTTTTGCGGGTCTCTAGGGATGCCATAGCCACTATAATACATCTGACCCACAAGAACCTGCATAGCTGTATCCCCAGCTTTAGCCTCCTTAAGAGTGTCTTGAAACCACCGCTTAACGCACTCCCCCACTACGTCGGCAAGCGGATGCCGCCGCTGTTCAGCCAAAGGCTTGGAATTTGAGTTTGAACTCTCTTCCTCCATCTTTGATTTTATCTTGAGCCGCTGCTCCGACGATTCTCCGGCAACTCCTTTTGACTTTGGTGTCTCCCTCTCCGTGGATGAAATTGATGGCCTAATCCTTGATGTACGGTGGATTCTGTTAGAGCTGATGATTCTTGCAAATCCTTGAGGAAGGGATTTCCCCATATAGTGTGTGCAAATGTACCAAATCTAAAGTATCTTATTTGTTTGTTTCCACGAAAAGGATGTTTAAAATTAGAGACTAGGAATCAAGAAAGTGCAAAATTTAGAGATTTTTCTGTTCCTTTGTGTTAGCTGAATCATATGGTTCCCGGCTGACATGCATTTCTTTTTTTAAAAAAAATTTAAGGTATTCCAAGAGTTTTAATGTGTCCATTAAAAATTACTCAAAAGAATAAAAAACTATTGATACTAATCTTTTGCTTTATACTTTACTAAAGATGTTTAAAAAGTTTGATACTATTTATCTTTGTCTATCTATTTGTTTTTCTACCCATAAACTAATTACATTTCCTACCCATAGTAGGTTTTGTGGGGGAATTTTTTCTTTATTCTCCAATTCTATTTTATTTCTATGCTTCTTTTCTTTTCTTTTTTCTTTTTTTTTTCTTTTCTCCTTTTCTTTTTTCTCGTTTTCTTCTTATTTTTTTCTTTTTTCCTTTTCTAATTCCATTTAACTTCTTTTTTTTTCTCTTCATAATCTAATTTCATTTACTGTTTTCATTATTTTTATTATTCTTTTTTTTATATTATTACTAAAGAAAAATCAAATTGTGTATCAACTAAATATAATACAACCAAAAAAATATTAACTAACATATGATACCAGTATAGTATATAACTTACCTACAGGGTATACAATTGTACGCAAAGAGTTAAAAAAATTTAATTCAATTATTAAACTGAAATAATATCAGTTGTCAATAAAAATTTAAAAAAAATTTAAAAGTATCTAATTGTAAGAGTATATCGTTACATTATATAGCATACTATAATTTTATTTTATTTTTTGCATTTTCAATTTGCCCCTCACGCTCGGTAAAAGCTTAAAGCAAATTAAAAGGGAAAAGGCAAGTGAATTTACAAGTAATAAGTATTATAGTATATTGTATACTATTACAACATATTGTTACAGTATATTGCATATTATTAGAGTATACTATAACAATATATTGTATACTATAATAGTATAACTATATACTCCTATTGTATATTGTATACTGTAGCGGTATACTGTTAGGTAACTGTGTTCTTCTTCGATTATTACAATATACCGTTGCAGTATATTGTAAACTATAATAGTATACTGTTGCAGTATGGCTATATACTCCTACAGCATATTATATATCGTAGAGGTATACTGTAGTTGTGTTCTTCTTCGATTTTCAATTGAAAATTTCGATCTCAATCACCTCAAATCAGCTCCAAATGCTATCAAATTTCAGTATGAACTTCCAGAAGGTATTATAAGCAATATCCAACAGCACTCACTTTGAATCAAATAAAAAATCTTCAAAATAAAAAATTTAAATTCAAAAGCTTCAAACCCAACAATGGTGAATGTTGCAATTAAAGCTCTGGTCATTGCTCCTAACAAATCCACTTTCTGTCTCTTAGCCTATTAAAACTCCGGTCATTGCTTCTAATAAGGTGCCCACTGCAAAAAAACCAAATTCATTCCTTAATAGCTTCAAATTAGAAAATAACTTTAAGAAATTAAAGTCCAGATATTTGAAACACAATCACCAACAAAAAATATATATATATAATTGAGAGATTCATTCCCCTCTATTTCAAAGGTCATATTTTCCCCTTCTTTTTCTGCTTTTACTTCTACTACTACTTGCCAAATATAAACTCATTGAATTCCATTTTCACTTGGGATTTGGGATTTCTGCGTTTTTTTTTTTTGCTTTCCTTTTCACAATGCAATTCTGCAAACAGGTAAAGAGATGACCGGAGGCGGTGGAGACATATGCAAAACAGTTACAATGAAAATAACCGGGTAAATAGTTTAGGCCCCATGGGTAGGAGTAGTAAATAGTTTGGGTCTGGACATTAAAGGGTAAATAGTTTAGAATTAATGGGTATAAAGTGAGATTTTCTCTTCTTATAAGTGGTTTTAAGGATATGCGATTTTACTTGGCACAAACTGAGAAATATGAGAATTAATATTAGAAATTAACTGTAAAATAAAGCAAACCAATATAATGAGTGGTTATGGCCTTCGAGCTGGATCGCCCTCGAACCAACAGAGTATGATGAAAAAGAGTATGAACCAAACAACAAAGCTTAAGAGAGAAAATGTAATATATTGTTTTGTTATGCGTGAATATGATTATTACAAAATGATTAGAACCCCCTTTATATAGTAGAGGAATTCTACTTATGGTACAATTCTAAATATAGAAGAAAATCTCATGATTGGCTAAACGTCCGGTCTTGACTTGATACGTGCCGAGATTTTCGCCACGATCCTTGCCCGATCACGGATATCTCGGCTTTCTGTTATTCGATATAGTAGGCTTCCTTCGATCTCGCTCGATCTCTATCTCGCTTCGATCTCGATCACGGCTAGTTTCGATCTTGATCGATCATCGACTCATGAGCTTGGCAATCCATCTCTGTGCTATGGTTCGATGCAATACGAGGCCGAGCCTTTGTCTTCCACCCTTATTTCGATTAGCCATACAAAATTAGGGAAGCTCGATTTTGATCATATATAGATAGTCCCCTTGTTTTTTGGAGTGTAATGACAAGAAATGAATTGAGTCTTCGAACTGCCCCTCGGTTTACCATGATGTAAGCATCGTGACGCAAGTGGTAGAGGTGACCGTCCATCAGTTCAGCTCTCTAGGCATTATTGTGCGTCAGTCGACGATCGGCCACTACCAGTATTGAACCGTCATTGTGAAACTAATAAATAGCCACTTTCTTCATTCTTTCAAATTTTACTTTCAATTTCCTTCATCCTAATCTTCACAGTTCTTTGCCTTCTCCAAATCTTTGTGTTTTCAGTTTCTTGGGTTTCTTCACTTATTTCTTCGTAAAATATCCAAGCGTTCCTCCTCCGTTTTGTTCTTCCCCATTTGTAAAAATGGCTAAGACCTCAAAAACTGTCACACACAAGGAAATCGCTTCTTCATCAAAGCCTACCGACGTCGTAGCCGTGGCGGATCCTCCCTTAGAGGACTTCGTTCCGACAAAGTGCCCCACTGCTGCTGATTTAAAGGTGGAGAATACACCCTCGACACCGGGTCTATGCGAACCAATGTCGAGATATATATGTACGATTACCGAAGATCTCCTCGAGAAGGTGAAAGAAGAGTGCAATTGGGTAGGCAAAGATGTAATAGTTCCTACCCCCAATGAATCCATCACAACTCATGTAGAGGGGTATCTAAGTGTCTATACTTACCCCTTCACGATAGGTTCCTTAGACCCCATCCTTGTCACCTTTTGCAAGAGGTACGATGTCACTCTTGGCCAAATCCACCCGTCATTCTTGAGGATTGTGATCCTCCTCCGATTCTTTGTATGCAAAATCGAGGGGCATCTTGGACTTAGTTGAAATCTTGGGTCACGTAGTGTTTGGTGATGGTATCAAGGCTGAGGCCAAGAAGATAGATGCAGTTTAGAGTTAGCCTAGACCTACTACATCTACAGAGATAAGAAGTTTCTTGGGTTTCGCATGCTACTATCATTTTTTTACGGAAGAGTTTTCATCTATTGCAGATCCCTTGACTAAGTTGACTTAGGAAAATGTTCCTTTTATATAGTCTGATGAATGTGAAGAGAGTTATTGGAAGCTCAAGACTGTTTTGACATAGCCTCAGTGTTGGTGTTTCCCATAGGTTCAACTCCATACACCATATTTTGCGATGCTTTATACGTTGGGCTTGGTATAATGTTGATATAGGAAGATAGAGTGATTGCTTATGCATCACGGCAATTGAAGCCTCATGAGAAGAATTATTCAGTTCAGATTTGGAGTTGTAGCAATTATGCATGCACTCAAGATTTGGAGGCATTACTTGTAAGGTGTTTCATGTGAGATTTATACTGATCACCGTAGACTTCAGCATCTATTCAAGAAGAAAGATAAAGATTTGAGGTAGCGGAGGGGGCTTGAGTTACTTAAGCATATGATATCATTATCTTCTACTATCTTGGTAAGGCAAATATGGTGGCGGATACTTGAGTAGAAAAGTGAAGAGTATGGGGAGTTTGGCATTAATTCTTTCTAAGGAGAGGCCTTTGGCTATGGATGTTCAGGCCTTGACCAATAAATTTGTGAGAGTGGATATTTTTGAGCCTAGTATAGTTTTTGCTTGTGTTGTTGCCTAGTCGTCCTTGTTTGAGCGCATTAAGGCTCGTCAGTATGATGATCCCCATTTTTGGTGCTTAAGGATATAGTGCATCGAGGTGGTGCTAAGAAGGTGGTTATTGGAGATGATGGTGTTATGAAACTTTAGGGCCGACTTTGCGTTCCTAATGTTGATAGCTTGAGGGCGTTGATACTTTTGGAGGCTCAAAGGTTGTGATGTTCTATCCATTTAAGTGCTACGAAGATATATCATAACTTGAAGCAAGACTATTGGTAGCGAAGGATGAAGAAAGACATTGTTGGTCATGTTTCGTGGTGTTTGAATTTCCATCAAGTTAAGTATAAACATCATAAACAGGGTAGTTTGACTCAAAAGATGGTTATACCGAAGAGGAAGTGGAAGCGTATGACTATGAACTTTGTGGTAGGTTTACCATGCACCTTGAGGAAGTTTGATTCTATCTGAGTCATTATGGGTATGTTGACCAAGTACATGCACTTTATACCGGTGTTGACTACCTACACTTCAGAGAGGTTGTCTTAGATTTACATCTGAAAGGTAGTTCGTTTGCATGGTGTTCCTATTTTTTATCATCTCAGACCGTGACATTCAGTTTAGATCTTGAAGAGTTGTTCAATGGGAGTTGGGTACACAAGTGGAGCTTAGCACAACATTTCAACCGCAGACGAATAGTCCATCCGAGCGGACTATTCAGATTCTTGAGGACATGTTACAAGATTGTTTGATGGATTTTTGAGGTCATTAGGATCAATTCCTACCTTTGGCAGAGTTTGCTTATAATAATAGTTATCAGTCCAGAATTTAGATGGCTCTGTATGAGGTTTTCAGGGGCGGCTCTACACTATTAGAGACCTAAAGTCAAATTAGCGTGAGAGGCCCTTAACCTTTTTTTCAAAAAAAAAAAAAACTTTCTTATATACTAAAATTTATTTAAAATATA